CACACTATACATATCTTTTTTTCCCCAGACTTATATATAGATATAAAACAATCTTTAGGATTCATTACAATAGAAATGTTTCTAAAACAAAGTTTAATTGTTAGTGTCAGAGAATTATGGTGTTGCATAGCTCAGTTTTGCAAAACCTCAGTCTCTTCACCTTATTGCTTGTATTATTTTTGCTTATATAATTTTTAAAGCAAGGTAATGTGATTTAAAGCTGAACTTAGATGTCTCACTACTTTAAAATGGTGGCTCTAACATTGCTAGTGCTAACCAGAACATCAAGCAAGATATTTTGGTCATACTCTTCTGTTGGTTTTTTTTTTTTTTTTTCCTTTAATGTTTATGGCTACAAAAGCAAACAACTCTTACGTTCCTACTCCCTTTCCTCTTTGTGGGGTGACTTTAGTTTGAATGAAGGTCCCTTGTGACACCCTGTCTGGGAGCACCGTAAGTTGAAATTCTTTCTCTGTGCAAATTGCACAAGGGACGTTGAGCCAAATCCAACCCAGACCAATGAGAGAGAATTGTTTGCTGTGGTTTTGCAAAGGCATAGCTGCCTTGTACCAGCTGCGTACATAAGGAAGGTGACTCCAATAAGCTCTTGGACTTAAATCATGCCTTGAACAGAGGTATTACTGCAGGGCCACAGCTCAGTAGGCTGGGAGGATCGTTTTCAGAGTTAAACTACACTTACAAGCTACCAGAAACGGGGAGCGGTGGATTGAAAGTGGACAAGGTTGGTATGCCTCACCTGGCTTTACTCTTGAAGAGGATTTCTGAATACTACAAAGTAAATAAATACTTATGTAGTCTATGAATACAAGTCTATTTGAGAGATGCATTTTAACTGCAGTTCATTACATTCTTTTGGTTTTCTTCAGTGTTTCTGTAACTTTAGTTCTGGAGCCATTTCTTCTGTGCAGCTCCATGGAATGTTGCTGCTGCTGTTGATTTTTGGACTGATCCTCTTACAGTTCTTTGGTATTTGCAGTTGCTGTCCTGCCCCTGTTCTTCAGGCTGCTACAAGGAGCTCCTCAGCAATGCCAGAAGAGTGTCCCCATGGCCACTTTGCTGTTTGCGTTTCTCAGCTGTAAGGTGCTGGCGAGAGGCTCTTCTTCCTCCCATTGGATCAGCTCGCCTGGATGGCTTTGGAGATACTCCTTCTAGTTTGCCTGTCCCCAGCCCCTGGAGGTGTCCTTTATCTGAGCTCTGATTGCACTGACTGTCGTAAATGTGCGACATGTCACTCTGCCTCACTTTGTCAATAGTAACTGCAGGTAAACGTACGGCGGTGGCGATCTCTGCGAACGTGACGGTGAGGTGGTGGCTGGTTGTGAGCACGCCTCAGCACCATGCCAGGTGTTTCCTGAAGGTGGTCATAAAGTCCTTCGTCCCTAAAGTATCTTGCCTTTGCAGCCAACAGGGAGGAAAAGCTGAGTTGCTTCAGGTTTCTCAGTTGGTAGATTAGTATTTTGCTAGATGTTTTGAAAACAAAAATCCCAACCCATAAATGGCATTGTAACCACTTGTGCAAGGGGGTAGTGCTGCTGGAGACCTGGCATTTTCTAAGGTTCATTGCCTCAGGATGTCCTTCCTAGAAGCACTCCCTAAACATCGGGTTGTCTTATGTGCTCAAGCTTATGTGTTTCTCTTTCTAACCTTTTCTGTGGCACGCCAAGTAACATGTGAGAGCGTAGCTGAGCAGTCTGTGTACCTACTTATGTCAAGCACATGTTGATTCAGATCCTGCTACCACCCAGGAGGCAGCAGTACCTGAGCTTCTGCAGCCAGTGCTGCCCCACAGTCAGTGGTGTGGGCTGTGTTTGTGCCCTGAAGCCCTTAACATCTTCCTACTTTCAGTGGCTGAAGAATGACTGCAAGCACTGTGAAGACAGTGTAGGCATTAGTGTTAGTCTGCAGTCCATAGGGTATGTGTATATATATCCCAGCAAAGATGGATGCTGGACGGGACCTTCCCCATGCACCCACAGAAAGGTCCAGGTCGTTTAACTCTGACATGGAGGTGGTATTCAAGGCACCCTGGAAAGCAAAATCCTACCCAAATGTGGAAAGTACAAATATTGCATGGTCCCTGCTATGTTAAATATAAAAATGGCAGTAAACCTGGTCAAAACTAAAAGAGGGACCATAGGCATCCACTTACCAAGGTAAAACCCCAAATCTGAGGGCGTTTCCTCTTTCAGATAGAAGGCAGAAGCTTTCCAGGGAGTCCCTGGGGTTGGTGGGCAATTGAGGAATGAAAGGACCACTCAAAAAAGCAAAGACTAGTAGACAAGCTGAAGGTTGTCTGGTTTTACTTGGAAGAGCTTAAAGGGATTTCTCTGTTGGAGGCTTCTGATGGGGAAGTTTGGGGGTAGGTCTCAAGCTGAAACGTTGGCAGAGGAGGTGGTAGGACAGGGTGTTCAGTGAATGTGAGCAGGGGGCTGGGCCCACACCCCAAATTGTCAGGGTATCTGAGGATAAAAAGGCTTGTAGCCTCTCATTTAAAGTTCTCACATTAGGGAAGTGTCAAAAGCGTGGATGGGGTTCAAAAGAAGTTTTGTTTTCAGAGAACTACCAGCCAGTGACCACGATGTCTTTGCCACACTGGTAGAAACTCTAATGAAGACTTGCAACATAAATGACCAGGGTGTGCTGGCAGTGCCAAGGGCTGGTGGATGAGGAAGAGGAGGAATCCAGACTTCAAATCTGCTGGGAGGTTTCTGAAGGAGTCAGCAAGTGTGTGGACCAGGACACTAGAGTTAATCTGGTCTGTCTGGGTTTCCAAAAGGCTTTTGATTAAGTCCTTTATGAAAGCCATCAAAGCAGCTAGACTGATGCAGGATAAAAGGGAAATGCCTGTTGGGGTCTAATACAGGTCATGATTTGAAGTATTCAGGGTTGTAACTGGGAAAGCAGGCGGTGTTGAGCTGCAGAGGAGCATGGTGAAGTAGAAATACAAAGCGGCGTGGCGGGAGGAGGAATTGCTGCCAGTGATGGCTGCTGAACCAGCTGCGGTCTCGCAACTTGGACATCCTTGCTGCTGAGTGACGGTCCTGTGAAAGTACCTGTTCTGTCCTGGTGAGGTGGGATAAAGGAGCCCCTGCAGAGCAGGACTGTCCTGTCACGGTGAGCTACCGCAGTGCTATGTACAGACAGGGCAAGGATGTGCTCACGGGGAGGCACCGGCTCCAGTTTGTATTTATGCTTTCTCCCCAGCTGTCCTGCCACTTCTCCTCTGTCTGTCTAACCTCCCCTCCACCTTGATTTCATGCTGTGGGGTTTGGACCCTCTCCCCCATCAGGGCTAAGGATCCCCAAATGTCTCCCTGGGCAAACAAAAGAGGAGGAGGTGTGAGGGTATAAGGACACCGGAGCCCTTCCCGCAGCCACCTGTGGTGCAGACCCAGGGTGTTCCCAAGGGGCTTCCCTGCTCCACAGCTCCATCCATAGTGGCCATAATTCATACACCTGCTGCATCTTTCCTCCCCACCACAGCACCCATGTCCTGCCCCTTGGCCACATCCTGCCCTGGACCCCGCTCTCAGCCTCTCCCTGTCTGCCTGCGCTCCTCAGGTTACTGTTTGACAGAGGAAGGCTTGAACCTGTCCTGTTTCCTGGCAGCTTGGATTTTTTCCGGCTCACGAGGCAGGAGAGGTGGCTTGTGGCACTTTGTTTAAAGGGATGGAGCAGTCCTGGTCACAGCCTGTGAGGGTTACCTACCCAGCGGGAGTGTAAAGGATGTGACAGTGGGTTCGCAGGATTCAGTAATACAGAAGGATGCAGAGGCTTTGTTTCTGTTTCTGAATTTCTTTGTTACAAGTTACTATTAGTAAGGTAAATACACTTACGATAAGTAAAGCAAGTGTGTGTATGTATGATTTTTTTCTTTTTATTAGTAGCAAGTATATATATATTTAATTCAAAGTATTATGGTACAGTTAATTAAGCTGCTCCCAGGAGTGATGTCAATCAATGATGGATGAAGTCTCTGTCTGGAGATGATCCGTGTCACAGAGCCTGGAGTCAGCCAGGCATCCCCGGTGGGTCTGAAGGGTCACGCAGAGGGAGGTCTCAGAGAGAGAGGGGCTCATTTTGGGTAGGTAGCCAGTTACTTTTATGTGGATCCATAAGTGGGCAGAGGACACCAGCTCCTGGAAGAGCTGTTGCTGACTTCTGCTTGCTTAGAAGGCCCCTTTGTAGGTTATGGCAGTTTCTTTGCCCTGCAGGTTATTGCAGTTTGTTTTGGGCTTATCAAGGATGCCCTGGGCTCCTAGCTGCACTTATCGAGGGTGTTGCAATCTTCCATCTGCGCCTGCCAAGGATGCACCAAGTTTGCAGGCTGGCAGACATTTTCTCCACCTGTATTTTAGCAGACATCTCTTGTCAGTACTTTTCCCCATTATAACCAGGTTGCCTTTATGGTTGCTGCTCTGACAAGGGATCAGTATTGTTCCCTTGGTCCCTGCAGGAAGAGGCTGCCCTGGGTCTGGCAGTGACCCTGCAGGAGCCCCACAAGCTGTGCCACCTACACGTACCAGTAGGGCTGGGTGCTGGTAACTCGCTTTGCTTGTTCCCTGTTACCAGCACCCGTGTCAAAGCAGGGCACTCACTCTGGTCCTTGGTGCTTGGCTGGGGGACGTCCACTATCCCATGTGCCATCGCGGCAGCTTTCTGCCCAGGCGCTCGCTGCTCACCGCCCTGCTCCAGGGTTGTCTGGAAACGTGGCTGGAGGGGAGGGACCTCCGTGGGCACAGCGGGTGCTCTGAGTGCACCAGTTCCTTCCGCCAGGCAGCTGCTCGGCAGAGCTCTGCTTCCCAGCCTGAGAGACGCCACTACAGCCAGGGCTTTCGCTGCACCACCCGGAGAGCGAGGGGCTGCACCCGCTGCTGCCTGACTGCTGAGCTGTACGTACCAAGAAGCCTCAGGTGAGGGATGCCCTAGAATCGTGCTGGGGACGTGCCATCCTTGGGCTGTGCCCCACAGGGGACAGCCATGGCTAGCTCAGCCCTGGGAGCCATCCTTGCTGTGCTGGCCTCGCTCATCATCGCTGCCAATGTGCTGGTGGCCATCGCTCTCCTTCGCCTCATCCAGAAGAGCAGCTCCAAGGGGCTCTATTTTGTCCTTAATCTTGCTGTTGCGGATGCCATGGTTGGCTTCACGGTCATGGGTCTGGTCATGGATGAGTTTTCCCAGCCCTTTTATCCTCCCCAGATCTTCTGCGTTTTGAGAATGGCTTTCGTGACCTCCTCTTCTGCTGCCTCTATCCTATCCCTGATTATGGTTGCGTGTGACCGGCACCTGGCAATCAGGAAGCCTTTCCACTATTTCCAGCTGGTGACAGGCTTGCGGGTTGCGGTGCGCTTGGTGGGGCTCTGGCTGGTTGCTGCCATCATCGGCTTCCTCCCGGTCCTCAGTCCGAGCTTTCAGAAGATCTCCACCCATGAGAAGTGCTCCTTCTTCGGGGTCTTCCACCCTGCCTACATGCTCACCGTCTTCTGCGTCGGCTTCTTCCCAGCGCTCTTCCTCTTCATTTATCTCTACTGTGACATGCTGAAAATTGCCTCTGTGCATGTGCAGCATATCCAGAAAGTGGAGCACGCAGGGCTGGCGGGGGGCTGCCCCCCATCCCGCACTACCAGCGACATGAAGGCCATGCGTACTGTCGCCATGCTCATCGGGTGCTTCACGCTGTCCTGGCTGCCGTTCTTCATCGCCAGCATCGTGCAAACTGTCTGTCTTGAGTGCTTGCCCTACAGAGTTATTGAGAACTACCTCTGGCTGCTGGGACTGTGCAACTCCCTCCTGAACCCCCTGCTCTACTCCTACTGGCAGAAGGATGTGCGGCTGCAGCTCTCCCAGCTGGCTTCAGATGTGAAGAGGAGAGTCCTCCTCCACCTGGGGAACAGCCGCCGTTTCCCTGGTAGAGGCACCAAGTCTCTCCCCACTGTGTCCTGTCTGCGGCTCCAGGACTGACACAGTAAGGAGCGGCTGTCACCAGCTTTCCAGCTCATCTCCTGCATCTTGACCAGGAACCCGGGGCCCACCAGCTGTGGAGGAGATCACAGACAGGGTGGGACCAATCTGGATGCTAATTCCCAGACATCAGCATGGCCAAATTCCAGCCTGCCCACAGAGCCACATCTCGGCCCGTTTTGCACCAGCCCCAGGCACCCCAAATTGCAGGTGTGTGGCACACATTAGATTTTGCCTGGAGAGCCTCAGGAAGAGCAGCCTTGTGTTTCCAGGGTCCAAGCCCTCAGCATTCACTCTGCAGGCTAAGATCCTTCACCCATTGCTGCCCAGCTTCCCCTGCCCAGACCTGGGATCCACCTGCCCTCCCCTCTGCCTGCAGCGCCAGCTCTCTGGGCAGCGAGCCCCAAGCACTCAGGGCAGGGCTACTCACACAGTGGTGGCTCTGTTGCCTTTGGCTCTTGGCCCAGGCAGCAGAGGCTGGGAGGTGTGTGCTTGTCCTAAATCTGTCCTGGACCGCAAGCACTCCCAGTCGCTGCCCTTCCTAAACCGAACTTGTGATCCTACAGCTGCAGCCTGGGCAGTCCCCCAAACCTGTCCCCTGCTGCAATCAAACCTGCAGCCAAAGAGGTGGCAGGGTCATCCCTGCTCTGGGCTGTGCCCACCCAAGGAAGAGGTGAGGGCTATGGGTCTGGGATCCCAGCCGTGGCACAGGGGACACAGAGAGGGCTCCCGCTGTTCCTCAGCAGCAGCTGTTATCTGCATGGGAGCTAGCATGGCGAGCAAGGAGCAGCCCCATGCCCTGCATGCCTGGCAGAGGTGCAGGGCAGCATGGGCTGTACCGTTGCTGTTTGGCTTGGGCTGTAAAGTGAGTTAATGAGTAACCGGCTGAACACTGAGCTGTAGCAAGGGAGCAGGAGGAAGGGCTGCCTTGGAGCCAGGGAAAACCCCATACAGGTGGGCTGCTTCGTCCCACCAGGGCTGTAGGGCTGGATTTGGGACTGCAAGGGTCCCTGTATGCTGACTCATCCCATGGGAGCACTGCTGCATGCCCTGCCACACTGCAGTGGTGGCCAGACTGCTGACCCTGCCAGAGCCTATGATGATATTTAATTGCTTCTCATAAAATTGTGTCCATTAAACCATTTCTTAGCTAAGAACGTACCCTGATCTGAAAATGAGGGTGCTATGCATAAAATAGCAGTTGTTTCCACCTCTGTCGTTTGCTCTACCCATTGACATGAAGGCTCAAGGCCATATCCAGAACCTGCCTTGGTCCTGCGGCCTTCCCCATCCTAGAGTAAGAGGCAAAAATAGAAGTGCCTTTAAAGAAACCCAGACCACCAGTCCCTCTGTGGCATTCACCTCTGCCTGGGAAAGGCCCGAGACCAGATATCAGACAGCAGATGCTGTTCCTAGCTGTACAACATGGCATGAGCCTGAGAGAAGGCCTCTGTAGAGCAGTCCTGGCTCTGTGGGTGGACTGATGCCTCGTAGGTGGATCTAGTAGGTGGATCCAGTCTGATTCAGTTCTGCGGATTAACACATCATCTGTCTGTACGATGTGTTTGAAGCCTGAGCTCCACCGGCTGTTGCTTTTCAAAGCTGACCCATCCTCGCTGAGCCTCCAGTAATGCCGAAGCCATCCTCTGCCTCCCTCCAACATGCTTCCTGCAGCGAGCATCGTGGGCGGGTACCCAGTGTGAACTGAGACACTTTGCACGTGGGCCTGTGTTGCTGACTGCTGCCTCTGCTGCAGTTTTGCTGCCCACAGCCCTGCAGCGGGGCCAGCCATCAGCAGTGTTTGTGCCTGGGCACAGAACCAGATGAGACTGCAGATCTGGAGCAGCATGAGCGACCGGAGCAGGAGCCCTGGCTGTGCAGGACTGTTGTGATCATGGTGTCCCCATCCACAGCAGGGATCATGGCTCAGGCAGCCTCCTTGGTGCTACAGAGACACAGGGCCGTGGCTCGGATGGGAGAGGAGATGCTTTTGCCAAGCTCCTGTGCGGGTGGAGGACACAGTGCAGCTGGAGACTGAGCACCTCCCTGCAGTGGAAGACGCCTTGCTGAGCATCTGCACTCCAGCGCTGACCTGCGTCTCCTCTCTCTCCAAGCCTTGTGCCAGAGGGGGTTGCTCGCAGGCTGGAGTAGCTGGGGCTCTATTCCTGGCAGACACCTCCAGATCCTGCTGGGACAGCACGGACCGGCAGGCGGTCCCCGTGAGGGCCTGGCT